CTTTTTTCTCTCTTCTATTAAAATATTAAAAAAACACTTAGAGATAGCTAATGAGTCATCTATTGCAGGTGCCTGTACAATCAGCCAATCAGGTTGTGTCGTGTCTGGCGCTGATGACTGATCCCTCTGAGAGCCTCTGCGACAGGCGTTCAGGCTCTCTCCCTCCGATCCGCGTGGCTTTCCCGTGTAAATTTAGGTGATTGGTAGGAAATTCACTAAATATGAACTAAACTATTCCATGTCGAGGTAACTGCACTGTGAGTCCATACTAAGTAGCAATAACTTGCTTAATCCAATTGTCAAAAAAGTAGCTGATCCAATACTTAACTTCAGCAACAAGCTATGGGCCTGTTTGGCTGGTATTAGAGCCGGCTGATAAGCCGGTTCAAGCTGTTCGGCTGGGATTAAAGTCGGCTGATAAGCCGGCTGATAAGTTCAAACGAGCCAGCTGATAAGCCGGTTAAAGTTGTTCGGCTGGTATTAAAGTCGGCTGATAAGCCGGCTGACAAGTTCAAGCGAACAAGCTCTATGGTACGAGAAACATATACCTGCAACTGAATCGCATTACCACTAGCTTATCCCACAAAAAAGAAATTCTGAATCGCATTACCACTAGCTTATCCCACAAAAAAGAAATTCTATGCTTTTGGAATAATCCTACTCAGACCTTGTTTAGATGCTATCCAAATTCCAAGTTTTTTCACTCTCTCTCCATCACATCAATTTTTAGCCGTTTGCATGGAGTATTAAATGTAGGTAAAAAAATAACTAATTACACAGTTTAGTTGGAAATCACGAGATGAATCTTTTGAGCCTAGTTGGTCCATGATTAGACAATATTTATCAAATAAGACGAAAATGGTACTATTCATCCGGTTGAAAATTTTTGCAAAGAGAACGAGGCCTCACATCACAAGCCAATACGAGCGACTACCAAGGTTCCCCTATATAAGGACCAACCGACCTCTACTCTAGCGCACACTCCACCAGGGCAGGCTACACTACTTCTCTCCTCCCTCTTTCCCGGAGCCATTAATTTACTCACGTCGCCGAGCTGGCTAGTGACAAGGGCGACGTCGGCGGCGGCGGCGATGCCGGCTTCTGCCCTGATGACGGCGAGCCGTCGTCGCCCGTGAGCAGCAAGGCGGTGGTGGAGGAGCTGTACCGCGCGCTGGAGCGCGGCGACGTGGACGCCGTGCGCCGCCTGCTGAACCCGGACGTGGACTGGTGGTTCCACGGCCCGCGCGCGCACCAGCACCTAGTGCTCATGCGCCTGCTCACCGGCGCTGGCGGCGGCGGCCTCCCGTTCAAGATCCGGTCCCTGGACGCCTTCGGGCCGACCGTGCTGGCCGAGGGCACCGACGCGACGGGCGCGCTCTACTGGGTGCACGCCTGGACCGTGGGCCCCGGCGGCCGCGTCACCGAGGTGCGCGAGTACTGCAACACCGCGCTCGTCGTGACGAGGCTCGGCGGAGGTGGCGGTGGCGGTGGCGCCGACGCCGCGGCTGCGGCGGCGGAGGAGGCAAAGGCGACGTTCTCGCGGTCCCCGTCAAAGCAGGTGTGGCAGAGCCGGCTGCTACCCGACCGGGCTCGCAGGAACCTCCCTGGCCTCGTGCTTGCCATCTGATCGAATCAGATGCGAATCATGCCAAATATGCTTCTGTACTGGCGGTGTGGCTTATTATGCGATACTATAGATAGATGGCCTGTGCATGTTTGCAATGTGGTTATAATTGGACATGAATGAATCAAATGCGTCACACAAAAAAAGAGAGAAATTAGTCGAAGTAAATCAAATTAAATGATACGTGATGTGACATGTGAGTTCCTGGTGATGGAGATGATTCAGCGTTAAGCTCATAGGGTTACTTAAGCAGTCTTTGGATGTCAATTAGAATGACTAAACATAAGGTAATTATAGAACTAATTGCATAATCCGTAACTAATTCGCAATACGAATTTATCAAGCCTAATTAATCCATGACTAGCATATGCTTACTGTATCATCATATTTGCTAATCATGGACTAATTAGACTTAATAGATTCGTCTCGCGATTAGTCACGGCTTTATGCAATTAGTTTGTATTTAATACTCTTAATTAGTATCAAACATTCAATTTAGTCACCTGCATCCAAACACCCTCTTATACTAACGTCCATTCACAAGAAGCATATAAACTAACGTCCATTCACAAGAAGCCTATAAACTATCGATGAAACATGTGAACTATATTTGAACACACTCCGGTACACCAATCTTCTAAAAAAGGGTGAATTTTCACACTACTCCAAATTCATGGATTGTTGTTGGCTAAACCTGGGCTCACGGTTAGTATCAGAGCCAACAAAGGGCATTCGAAAGTGATGGAGCTTACCTATCATCATCGATTCCATACCTAGTAGTGATAGGATGATATCAATGTTGGGTCTAACCCCTTAATAACCTGCAGTGATAGGCTGAACATCATTGCCGTGTTACGTCTCCACCTGGCATTGATAGTTCGAACGTCACTGCTGAATCACGCCTCTACCTAGCACTGGTATGATGAGTGTCATTGTTGGGTCTGCACCAGACCTAATAGTGATTTGATGATTGTCACTACCGGGTGAGGGCTGTACCGGACACTAAGTGTATTGTACCCACTGCCAGTCTAGTGGCTTCAACCCAACACTGGTCTTCATTTCTCCATGGTTGATATATTTTATAGTTACATTAAAATAAAGGTTATTGTATACTATTAGTATATTCTATATTATTAATTCCTCACATATATCACTGCCACCAAGATTATACTTCAATCATGAAGCATGATTCGATCAATAATGTATATAGATAAATCACTTCGATTTAGGGCGTTCAAATAAAATGTTAAACTTTCTATCCTCCACGGCGACCATCTCGTCCATGACAAACCCAGCTAGTTGTTCTTGTATTTCTATAATCTTATACTCTAGCAACTGTGGAGAACCAAGCTATTGTTGCTGTTATTGAAGCAAAAAGTTATAGAAATGCACAAGTGTTCCAATAATTGAACCAAACTAGCTACTAGCTTTAAATTACTGGTACCAAATAGATTCACTAAAATTCAAATGCCTTCGTGACTGAATGCTTTGAACTATGCTCTCTATAATGGAGAAAGAACAAGCATGAAAATAAAAAAAATATAGCCAACAAAACAGGCTATAAAATTTAAAAAATTGCTAGTTACCCACCATAAACAAAAGGAGATCATGTCCATTCTTCGAAAACAAACCCCTCCATGAGCATTTTGGCGAAAAATGGTTGTAACAGTGGAGAAAGAGGTGGAAAAATATGCCTGCTTGGATGGGTGTGCCCAGGCTAGGAGGGGGAGGAAGAAGGTGGCTGCGGTTTATACTGTAGCTAGGACAATGCTAGGTCCATCAAAACCTAGCAGTGATATTGCCAATACTAATACTATTATGGGGACAAGCCATGAACTGGCAGAGGAATATCACTGCTTGGTTGTTGCCTAACCTAGCAATGATATTCCTCACATCATTGTCAATTCATGCCTAGAGCCGACAATGATAGCCGCCTCGATGCCGGGTCAATAAGGTACCAATCACTGTTCAGCTCTGGCACACACAACAATGATGGAGTAATAGAAATTGTGGGTTCTGTAGTAGTATCAAATGCCTCCATGGAGGAAGAAAGTTATGGATACATATGGAAAATTATATAGATTGATTGATAATTTCATCACAAATTAGATAGAGATAGCAAATTTTATATAGGCATTATGTTAAAAACTGAACAATGACGACGCACACAATGATAAATTATTTTGATTATTTGTACTCTCTCCATCTATCTAAAAAAAATACTATATCCGAAGTCAAACAACCTTAAGTTTAGTCAAGCTTATAAAAAAGATATCTATATTTATGATATCAATAAGTGTCACTAAACTTATCATGGAATATATTTTCAAGTAAACGTTGATACTAAGATTTAACTCAGGGTAAAAGTAGAATTGCATTATTTTGGGAAGGGATGTAGTAGTTACTAGTAAACAAAATCTTCTGATACTTCTGTTTATTTAATCTACAATCATAGCATGTGCAAGTACGAGTTGATGGTTTAGTTTAGAAATGAAGGGAGTACCTCTGTTTTGTTAACCACCTCACACATCCTCACAAGCTAGCCAACATTGCCTCCAACCTCCCCTAAGATCTTGTTTGGATGCGCATATATTTATCTCAGTTAACATGTGTTGAGATGAAATTAAACTAAATTCTATTCCAATCTACTCTAGCACACGTGGATCGAAGTGGATAGATATGCATTTAAACGAGACCTAAAAGTCGGACACATTGTCCTCGCTAGCCAACACTTGTTAAGCCACGTAGGAAAGCAACTCACGAACAAGGACATGTAATAATCCATTGAAGGCCCATTGCCTTGGATCAATGTCCCACTTTAGATCAAACGGCAACCATGTGCATCGCCACATTTTTGTTTTGATGAAGATCCGACGGCTTCCCACGAACACGGAGCTGTGCTTTTTGGCCCAATTGTTTGACTGAACATGGATATCGTCGATTCAAAAAGTAAAAACAAAGATTAGAGCAAACATCTGAATTCCGAGAGAAATAAGTCGAAAGGAAAAGTGAAGGCCAAAAACAAAAAAAAGGGTCGCGGACTCTGCAATCTGTACACACATATTGGCATTCCTGGAGCGCCGCTCGATGTATTGCCACTACTCTGTAATTACTGAACTCATCGACGTTCTCCTTCTGATATCGATGGCGGCACAGGAGGCGTCATTTCTCCCGAAGAAGCACGGCTCCCCTGATCGTGCAGCAGCAATGGCGACTCGTCGCCTCGACTCGTCGAGTAACTCGACAGCTGAACAGAGTGGGTGTCAATTGTCGCCGACTTTGCAAGATGGGAAGAGGAAGACCCTCCCTGATGAAACGACTTGACTCCACTCTCCCTCGGCAAAGGCTGCAGAGCTTGCGCATCAGCAGCATCAACTCACCTGCCGTCGGAGTCTGGGCGGCTGACGCTTCCGGCCTCGACGTCGAGGAGGATGTCAGCGGTGCGCACCTCCTGCGCCAGCGCGCAGCTCCAGCAGAACATCCACTGCCCGTAGTCAGCGAGCGACGGCGAAGCGGTGCCGCACGCGTTGGCGGCATGGAGCCCGTACCTCCGCCGCATCCGCGCGCGCCAGAACCCGCCGTAGAGCAGGCCGAGCGCGCAGAGGACCACCCCCGTCGCGCCGACCGCGAAGCTGACGTCGTCGTTCCGGATGCTGATCGCGGCGGCGCTGAACACCCACAGCGGCGCGAAGCAGAGCAGCGCGAACATGGCGGTGTGCACGTGCGCGTTCCCAAAGCCCAGACGCTCCATGTTCCACCCGAACACGCAGAACGTGCAGAGGCACGAGAGCCAGCACGCCGTCGGGTCGTCGCCGACGTCGAGAAGACCGCCGGCCCACTCCGCGCCGACCGCCAGCTCAACGTCGACTATCCCACCGTCGTCGTCGGAGGAGGCTGCTGAACGTTCGTCGGGCTCTTGGTGCACGCTGCGCCCCCGTGCTTCCTCCCTAGAGGGCTGAAGTACATGTACAGGCCGGCGATCACCGGCGTCGCGGTGCCGACCACGGTGAGCGAGGTCAGGGCGTCATCCGGACGTGCCCTGCGCGAGTACCCCCAGTAGAGCCCACACATGGCGTACTGCGCGAAGCATGTGGCGTGCAGGAGCGCGACCACCACGGACATGTGAACCCGCTGGCCGCGCCGGACGCCCGCACCGGCGCCCTTCCGGCAGTAGGCCTCCCTGAGCACCTTGGCGTCCCCGGGGCGCCACCGGAGCAGCAGGACGGCGTGGTGGAACAGCGCGGGGTGCTGGTAGATGCTCATGAGCGTGAACAGCGCGTTGAGCACTTGGTTGTTGATCTCGATCCACCGGTTGCGGACCGACCTCCGAGGGAAGGCGCCGTTGAGGGATCCCAGGAGGAGGAGCCCTAGCATGGAGCCGGACGCCGCCACGCAGAGCGCCCACGCGACCAGGGCGAGGTGCGCCGGGTGCTTCAACCAGCGCCAGCACGCGCGCGCGACGGTCGCCGGGTGGAGCCTCCGGGCGAGGCGCCGCGCGCGACCAGGTCGCCGCCGGCCTTCGGTTCTTGGCTCGGGTTCTTCTTGCTCGAGGACGGTACGGGCGGGGGCGGCGCCATTCTTGCGCTCTCCGACGTGCTCCACCTCCAGCTCGACGCTGAACGCTGCAGCGGCGCGGTGATCTTGATCATGGCGTGAATTATCGACGGCTTCCATGTCCGGCAGTAGAACGGTGTGTCGGAAAAAGATGGATTTGTACCACAAAGGCCGGAGAGATCAATGGAAGCATAGCCAAGATGCGTAGACACGTTTACTTTACCGAGTAGACACGACCATGGAAGAATCTGAGACTTGGACTTGGTCAAGAAAGGTGCACCGCGGTAGTTTATAAAAGAGAAAAACTGCAATGCCCAAGCCCACCCTGGGCGCTTTTTCACCGAAAACCGAACACCGAACCGAACCAAACTGAAACCGAACCGAACCGAATAGTCGGTAGTTCGGTTTTTCGGTTCGGTCTCGGTTTCCAGTTCTGTGAAGTTCGGTGTTCGGCTTCGGCTTCGGTTTCTATGCCATACCAAACCCGAAGTACCGAGAAACCGAGAAACTCTCGTAAGGCAGGCTAAGGCCGTGAGCACTGAGCCGCTTAGCGCTGAGCGCCAGCCCACCAGGCACCGGCCCACTGCCCACCACGGCTAGTCCACCACGGCACCCCGCACCCACACCACTTCACTTCCCCGCATCGAATCGAGTCGCACCGCACGTCTGCACGTAGGGCCTCGCACTCTCGCTCCTAACCCTAACCCTTCGGAGGCGGCGAGGCGTGGCAGGCGGCTGGCGGCGCACCCAGCAGGCCAGGGCGCTAGGCGGCCAGCGGTGGCGGCGCCACCGTCGACCGTCATCAAGCTCCTCAACCACGACTGCAAGAACAGAGCGAGGGTAAGTCTTTAGTTCTTCTTGTTCTTGTTTAATGCCTAATAGATGGCTGGTTTTTGTTTTGATGTCTTGTAGATGAGGGACACTGAAGAAACAGTGGCGCATCTGAATGTTCAAGTGGATGAGAATGAAGTTGTAAATGGGGAGAATGACAAGCAGGATGAGCAACAACAGTCTGGATGAGAATGAAGTTGTAAATGGGGAGAATGACAAGCAGGATGAGCAGCAGCAGTCCAAGGATGGAGAGGAAGTGGGAGATGAGGAAAGCAAGAAAAGGAAGCCCATGGTTCCAAGATCAGATGTTTAGGAACACTTCAGCAAGATCAAACTTGATAATGGGGAGGAGAGAGCCAAGTGCAAGTACTGCGGCAAGCAACTCCGCTGTGACACAAAGTTAAATGGTACGTCCTCCATGAAGGCTCATTTGAAAATCTGCAAGAAGAATCCTCACAAACCTGTAGTAGATAATCAAGGTACTTTACAACTACAACCTAGCCCTAGCAATAGTAGTGTTGGTACTCCATCTACATGGAAATTTGATCCTGAGGAGTTAAGGAGGAGTTTTGCTGAGATGATAATAGAAGATGAGCAACCTTTTGTGTTATCTGAACGTTCTGGCCTTAGAAAGTTTATGTCAAAAGCATACCCATGTTTTGTTTTGCCATCTAGAAGAACAATCACTAGAGCCTGTGTGAAAGTGTTTGATGATGAGAGAGAAAAACTTAGGAAATTTTTGAAAGACAACTGTGAAAGAGTTAGCCTGACAACAGACACATGGACGACTAAGAACAGTCATAATTACATGTGTGTTACAGCACATTTTATTGACAATGAGTGGAATTTGTACAAAAAGATTATTGGTTTTTTCTTGGTTAAAGGCCATAGGGGGGAGGACGTTGGAAAATCTTTAGAGAATTGCTTGGCTGACCGGGGAATTGAGAATGTTTTTACAATAGCAGTAGATAATGCTAGTGCAAACAACACTGCAATTAAGTACATGCAGAGGGTCCTGAATGAATCAAAAGGCTGTGTTGCTGAAGGAGGAGTACCTTCATATGAGGTGTTTTGCACATATTATCAACCTGATAGTAGGTGATGGGCTGAAAGAATTTGATAGATCAATCACTCGTGTTCGGGCTGCTATTAAGTATGTTAGGAGTGGACCATCTAGGTTGGTAAAGTTCAAGAAATGTGCCGAGTTAGCAAAGGTTCAGACCAAAGCATTTTTCAACCTAGACGTCTGCACTAGGTGGAACTCAACTTACCTGATGCTACAAACTGCACAAGAGTATGAAAAGGCCTTTGAAAGGTATAGTGATGAAGACCCATACTATAGTATAGAGTTAGAGAGTGAGAAAGCACCAGGAGTTCCAATCAAATCAGATTGGGAAAAGGCAAGGAAAATGGCTCAATTTCTTAAATACTTCTATGAGCTGACCTTCCATGTCTCTGCCACAAGTCGCCCAACATCTCACACATACTTTCATGAGATTGCTGATGTTTTGGTTCTACTGAGACAATGGTGTCACAGTGAAGATATATTATGTAAGGAAATGGGCCAGAAAATGTTAGTGAACTATTACAAATATTAGGAAGAGAAGTATGGAGAAAGGCCGGGGGATAGAGAGAAGAGAGGAGAGAAAGACAAGGGGGATCAATTGCTTAACATTGTTATTTTTTTCTATGTTGGTATTGATCAAACTTTCTAACTATGTCAAGATGGCAACTATGGTAATGTTTGGTGATGAAATAGGTCAGAAACTGTGGGCAACCGTCAACATTTATTTTTGTGCTTTGTTTGAGGAGTACAGAGAATTGTATGCTCCATCTCTAAGTGACAAGGTGCCTGCTGAAACTCAAGAAACACCAGAATTTTGTTCTAGATTGATGAGCGCCATAATTGTACAACAGATGAGCAACAAGGGGAGTGCCAATACCACTATGAAGTCTAAACTAGACAAGTACCTTTCAGAAGATAATGACGAGCTTAGTAAAAATTTTGACATTATGAAATGGTGGAAGAACAATGCTACTAGATTTCCCATAATGTCTCGTATGGCCCGTGATCTTCTGGCAATTCCTATATCAACGGTAGCCTTTGAGTCAGCCTTCAGTTCAAGTGGAAGAACACTTGATGATTTTAGGACATCACTCACACCAACAATGGTTGAGCGGCTCGTTTGTATAAATGATTGGCTTCGTGGAAACAACTACATCAGTATTGAAGAGGACACAGAAGCATTGGCTAAGCTTGAGGAAGGTAATTTTTAATGCTAAGTCTAAGTTGTTATTATTTCTATTGTTTATCTTGATAGCTTATTACGATAACATGACTACACTGAGTACTAACTAAAACATAATCACTTATTATAGAAATTGGTGCCCTGGTCATTTCTAAGGATAGCACTACTGCTACTGCATCTTGATAATGGTAAGTTGGTTAGCTGGACGCCTAGACACATCCTGGTGGCGCCATGGAGCATTGTTCTCTTGCTGTTGTTGATGCCTGCTGGCTATAATCTATTTTTTTTTTCTGTTGTTTATCAAAACTGGTGGAGTACTGTGGTTTATTATCAAGAATGAACTGTAAATTTGTAATATTTGATTTGAGCATTGAATTATTAAGTTTGTAATAGTCTTGATTCTTCAAGTAATATACTGTGCTATGCAAGTTTGTACTGTGCTGTGCTGTCAGTTCTAAATCATGTCTGATGTTTTCTTGCATCGGTTTATTTGGTTTTAACCGAAAAACCGAACTAAAAACCAAACCGAAATTAGTCGTTTTTTGGAATTTTAGCAAACCGACCAGAGGTCATTTCTGGAAACTGAAATTTTAGAAAACCGAAGAAACCGAACTGAACCGTCGGTTTAAACCGAACGCTCAGGCTGAGCCGAAGCCATCAAGAAAACTTAAAATATTGGCCAAAGGACACCAAAAACAGCAGCGTTTAAGTCTCCTCTCTCTAATTATGTATGCAGTCTTGCTGGGAATGCAGATTCGGTGACAAACCTCTCCGTGACATTGAGTCAGTGGTGGCGCGCACTTGAGGAGGTGTACAGCTCCCGCCCTTTGCTGGGCAGCAGCGAACTCAGATTGACCGTGCTGACGGCTGAACAAAACGCCATAGAAGAAGATTGACTTGGCCAAGTGTTGACTTGGAAATGCAAAATAACTTGAAGGCTTGTGCCTTTCTTGACTGGATCCAGTGGTCCACTCAAGATTGTAGATGCTGACTTCAGGTTTGAAATTGCCCCATATAGCAAACTGATTTCTGGAACAAGTTGCTACTACATAGATACATGCATCTATCTATTTATATCTAATATTAAAAAGCTAAAATTTCTACCATATTTTTTGTCTGGCCTAATCACCTAATCGGCACCTTGGCCAGCCGCTTCTCTACCACGTCCGTTTTTGTTTCCGTCAGGTGGAACGCACACAGCTTCTCGCAGCGTCGGTAGGGAACCCAAACGAACACCGCTTCCTTTTCCCACTAGAACATCAGGTGCCCGAAGGGCGCCCTACCGTGACTTTTCTTCCACAACTTAAATTTTAGCAGGTCCATTGGGGAATTGATTCATTCATCAACAGCAAAAAATCATAATGGCTAATTTCCTAAAAAAAAGCATAAACGGTTTATAATCTTGAGTTGACAGGTAAAACACTACAAAGGCCATAGATAAGTAAGTAAAACATATGAGATCACAAAGCTACATTCAAGGAGTGAGACAAGACCAAAAGAACTAAAGAATTCACTCGTTGACAACAGTTTTACAAAAAAAGAAGACCAAAGATAAAACCTATTATCATTATGCATATAATGGATTAATGGTACATCTACATAGATAATCCTGTAGCCTCCTGTGGCAACGGCCATTGTGATCATGAAAAATCAAATCACGAGTATCATCATCAGAACAAAGTAGTCAAAGCCCTATCAGTTACCTGCAATTTGGCGCACACAGCACATCATAGCTTGGTACGGCATAGAAAATAGATGCAAGCCAAAAAAATGAAAAGAAAAAACAGAAACATGGCTTGCAATAATCTGCAAAGAATCATTGAGGCAGTAGCCATTTACCAAGGAAATGTTAAATGATATTTCTTAATGCACGACGTAATATTCAATAAATAAATTAGTGGTCCGTAAGATATTTTATTTGCCCTCCTTTTCCCAAATCAATTTTCAACTCTAACATCCTGTGTCTTTCTTCCAAGAGTAACCCACATGTCCAAAGGGGAAAAAATCAGAATGGCAGTAGCAAAGGTATTACACAAATAA